ATTCTATTTTGTTATTCCTTCCATCAGATTCTCAGATCAGATGTGTAGGACTTCATTGATTTATAACCCTAAGTGTCATTTTTTACTTGCTGCATATACAGATCAGTGGTGAAGAGGGCGGGTTGCTCTTGAAAGACAACTTCGACGGTGGTGCAACATGGGCATTTGAGGTAGGAACTCAACCAATGATCTGTCCGATCATAGTGGAGGATCTGAACCCACCTCGACAGCTGCTCGTAGAGGTAAATGGTTCCTCTTGTTACTTGCTTTTCATCAATTCTCATCAATGAAGAGAAAGCCTCAAGATGATTTATTTGTAGATGCTTTGCGAGGAGCGGGGTTTCTTTCTGGAGATTGCTGATTTCATCAGAGGATTGGGATTGACAATATTGAAAGGGGTGATGGAAGCACGAAAAAGGAAAGTTTGGGCACGTTTTGCCGTAGAGGTACTAAGATGCCTCTGGCATATAAGTTCCTTGCTATTGATCTGTGCCTTCAGTTTAGTAGCATGCAGACAAACTTTAGTGTCATACTGTACCTGTTGGAAAATTATCATTGAAGGATGATAGTTTTCATTAATTCATAGAAAAACACAGTAGCGGATAAGTAAAGAGGATGAAACTAAAATATTTTATTCATCACAATCAATCACTCTATCTTTCTCTCATGTTACAAGGTCATAGGCAGACCATACCGCAGCCTAATTTGATGGAACTCTTCATTTAATTACGGCTCTTAAGCTAACTCGTTATCTAAATATAATTTTTAATTTAATATTCCATCAGCATTATGCACATGCCTCACACACTTACATAGGTCATATATTCTCCTTTCACTTGTTCCTTATCCTAACATCCCATGTGGTGCATTTATAGCCCATAGTTACATACAAAAATTTATAGCCCATGGTAACTATGTTACATCCATAAATTCAGTCATCGTTTGGGGAAGGAAATCATTGGGGATTGGTTGGCTAGGTTTGCTTTGTCAACTAAAAATTCCTTTTTTTCAAGAGGCTACTGGCATGATCCTCTCCTTCCTCTTTTGAGTGCTGATTCTTTAAGCATCGGTCATACACGATCTTTCTAGCAATGTAATTTCTTTTGTGTTTGAAAAAAAAAGAAAATGTTACGATTGCTAAAACAAAGGTTGCATATATTGTGCACAGGCCAACAGAGATGTGACTAGGATGGAGATATTCGTTTCGCTCATGCAATTGTTACAACCCACGGCTTCAAGCAGCACAGGACCACCAAGTGTCGGCAACATTAACATGCCGCATGCCGTACTCCACCAAACTTCTATTCCTGCGCAGGTTCTCTGATCATCTGTTAGCAAGTAATTGGCATGGCGCTGGTGTTGGACCTGGAAAAGCGAAGAGCAGGTTTAACTTCTCCTGCCATGACTAGCATTCCAGAACCTATTTGGAAGACAAATTAGACTATAGACATTTTTGTCTAGTCTGTTCCAGCTTAATCTGGAAGCATGTGAGCTGTGTACTTGGGATGTTTATTGTCAATGCTAATAGCATACCCTTTGCCTTTGGTAAATTCTTTATAAAGAAAGCAGCCTTCTTGGCAACTGTTACCCTTCTTCTAATTTGTTTGGAATGCCAGTAAGATGTGAATGCTATGGCATGACATTGAGTTCAAGGTTTTGTATGCTTCTTGTTTTGAATTTGTTGTACTTGTTTGGAAAGCAAAAGAAGTAAAAAAACTTGGGATTTGAATGCATGAAATTGGAGATACCATGTTTTTATTGTCAGTATAATTGTCTCACTGGCTACAGTATTATGTTTCTCCTTTTACCCCAAAAGCAGTGGAAATCCCATATCATTGTGACATACTATTTGCACGCAAACAAATCACCAGCCATACAACATACATCTGCATAAAATTCTTCCATATCAGTGTTGCATAATATTGTCACACACTGCACAATTCTAAATTTTGTGAAGTGTTTCTTCTTTAGTAATATTTCAATCTTATCTTATACATAAATATTTTGCTAAGAATTATATAATTTATTATATAACCCTTTTCATTACCTCTCATTGAAGGGTCATCTTAGAAAAACTGATGTAATCAATTATATACAAGTAATTTCTTTTATTATCTTACAAATATATCTGAAAACATATTAATATAGATCATATCATACGGATGTACATGAGTGGAAGATGCTATAATCCTGGATTAAGAAGGTAATAAGATTTTTTAGGGTTAAAATGAGGAACTAATTATGTTTATGAGGAATCAATGTAGATTTATTTAGCATATGCAAGCATAAAGACTTTTTATTCTTTGGTATGTAAACCTTGCAGGATTTACACTCGTTACTACTAGTATTTACGTAGCTCATCAGCTCCATTCTCCTCTCTCTCTCTCTCTCTCTCTCTCTCTCCTGGCGAGAGAGAACCATGGGAGCGTGCGCCACGAAGGCCAGAGCCGACGGGGACGCGTCCCCGCCGCTGGAGCAGCCGGCCGCCCCGCCGGATCACCAGGTGAAAGATGGCGGAGGAGGGCGGGAGGTTCAGCGGGGGCCGGCGCAACCGGAGGAGAACCGGCGGAGATCTCTCGGTGACTTGTTCCAGGTGCGTGTCGCTGCCTTACTCCTCAGATTTAATCGTCAAAATCTCTGTTTCAGCTGCAGAAGGAAACAAGTTGCGATCTTTAGGCCTGGTAGTGTGTTCTGAAGATTCTTGATGTTAGCTTTTGATCTCATTTGTTGCATCGAATGAGGGAATCCCCTCCTCATTTGGCTGCTTCTAAAACTCCACTAACATGGTAAAATACGGGTGTCAGGCGCAGTAAGCAAAACCTTGGCGTTGATTATGTTAGGCGAGGTCACATGCATATCGAATTTAATTATTCGATTCGCTTGCTACATTGGAAGCAGCTGTGTGGCGGAAAGTGTAATCCAGTAGAAGCTCCATGTTGACTTTATTGTGTAACCGACCTTATGGTTCTCCAATTTTGTCCCATGGATTTCTTTGAGAATAGAAAATTGCAATTTTCTAGTAGTTGATGTCATTGTTTCATTGCCTGCGTATAGTGTGGCTTATATTCTTCGTCTTTAGACCTAATGCATCATTCTGACCATTATTGTTTTCTTCTCTCTTTATGTTTTCCCTGCGCTACTTTACTTTGAACCATAGATTAAGAAGAATCTTTTAGAATCTCCTAAGACAATTCTTATGTTTCTGATTTCTGATTGACAATTGGTTGTTGTTTCCTATGTCTGTTCATGTAGGTTATCCAGTAAAATACATGAGCATTATTGACAATGACCGTGCAATCAATTAGAGGCTTTTTCTTTAGCTTTACAAAAGATACTTCACCCTTTCAATTTTCCTCAGGAGGACTGCCAGTTGTCTTTTTTCTTTTTTCAAGTGCCAGCACTTTTACTTTTCTCCTTTATCGATCATAACACATCGAAAGGTCTCAAACCCTTTTTAAGAGCTTGTGCCAACCTGCATTATAGCATGTAATTTTATGTCGTGGGCTAATTCTGCTGGAAATCTTATGTGTGGAGCACTCTGATATCATTCCTGTGGAAAACTCTGTTATACCCACCTTAGGTTTCTAATTAAGAAATTTAATGCTGATGATCACTTATTCTCTTAATCCATGTAGCCCTTTAGTTGGTTTAGATTTTTTCTACATTTCAAAGCTTGCTTGACCATAATTCATTGATAGTAGGGCTTAGCTAAAGCCGATAACAGTTTATTATGGATATGCTAGTGTCAAAATCGCTTATAGGAGGCTTAAAGACCTTTTATAAGATTTTATTTTTTATCGATAGAAACAGGCATTGAATGATTTGTTCATGGCATTAGAAAAGTATCAAGTACGTAGAAATAGGGTATGTGACATACAAATCATCATGGCATAGAACACATTCAAAGATCAACAACTGCTATGATGTCAGTCTTAAGGCTTTCCACATAAATAGGACCTACTCCCAAGTAATGCTTGAGGTAATTCTGTAAGGTTAACATCGAGTATGAAGTTAAATGAATGCAGTGAATTTTTTAATCTTATCACTCTTCTTGAGTTAATAAATATCAAGAATTTGAAATCCTAGAATTGTTCAATAGACACCAAGGACCATAATGTGTATTTTCGTTGATGTTCTTGCTTATATGTTTTCTCGGTAGGGAACTTTTCAGGTCATCTTCCGGATGGAAGTAAGCCTCAGAACCTGCCACCATAAAAAAAAAATAAAAAAAAATCACTAAATGTATGTACAAAGTTCACAAAAGCTAATTTGAAGTTGAACTTATACTAATTATATTTGCCGTCTCTGCAGAATGAAGAGACGAGCAGTTCCCCTGAGACTGCTAAGAACATTCTATCGGAGACTGTTACATCAGAACCTGTGTTACCAAAGGAAGAAGTGATCGAGTGCAAGGCATCGAAAGAAGCAGTGGTGCAAGAAACAGATGAACAACCTACGCAGATTTCTAAAGCCGAAGCCGCTCAAGCTATCACGACTGCTACCCCACGGGAGACTTCTGTTCCTTCTACGGCGGCAGATTCCGTAGCAAGCGTAGCAAATGCAGTAGCATTGGGTTCAGAAACTAAAGCCCAAGTCGAAACTGCTAAGGTGGAGGCAACAGATTCCAGTGTCACAGAAGGTAGTCCAGATGCAGAGGAGAAGACGACAGATGCATGATTGCCTGTTTACTGATTGCCACAATTTACACCGACATGGTTTACAGGTAAACATGGCTGATCTGATGGAATTACTCTTCTGCGTCTGTTGTCTGTTCATCATTCTGCTGTTTCCTTTCACGATTCAAATCCCGATTGCATTGTAGATTTGATTTTTTATCTGCTCATGTTCTGTGGTAAGAAAAATAAAACTAAATGTAGCAGGATATGATATTTTTAAATAATTCTTGTATATCCTCCTTGCTGAGGAGAATTAAACTCCTACAGGACTTGTAGAAGCTCTTGGCAGTATGCTCTTAACTATTGCATTCTTGTAAGAATCAGTACAAAAAACAAAATTCTTCACTGTTTTGATTCATAAACCATGGCTGTTTGGTTGATCAACATGAACTCAAAATTTAGCTGCAGATTTCATTTGGTAGCACTTCCAACTCTTGATTTCTTCAACACAAGGATTTCTTTCATGTTTCAAAGTAGAAATAACATCAAAATAGTTCAGGCCATGTTGCTTCCTTCTCCTGCATGTGCTGCCTTTCCTTCTTCGATTGAGACCTGACAGAGAGCTCTTTCCTTGTTCTTTCCCCATAGTACTCCATAAAGGCCTCCAACCATAAGAAGTCCACCTAAAATACTGAAATCAATGTGTCAACATAGCATTAGCTCAGCTAAATTAATCAGACAGTTTGAAAGATGGAAGAAAAACCAGGTATGCGTAGGCCCCACACCTTCCCACAGAAATCATCTCTCCTAGGAAAACAGATGAACATATCATGGTGAAAACAATATTTAGAGGTGTGAAAATTGCCGAAAACACAGGGCCCTTCTTCTCGACACAAAATGTTTGCAAATAGAAACAAACTCCTGTCACCACAAACCCCTGCCATCAAAGAAAATGTGATTCATCATTGCTTTTTCTTGTGAGAAACACAAGAAACTTGTTGGGAATAAAATTATCTCCAGTAGGATTTTATCTCAAGATACCAAGAATATTTTTCTTGCTTGTACTTATGAAATAGGTGAGTGTTTCCTCATCTTTCTTAAAAATTCTTGAGGTGTCACTAAGAAAAATGATAGGCCATCGGTTGAACCTATGGTCAACTGATTGACCATAACTTTCATATATTTTATAAATAAAATAAAGCATATGTTATATTTAAAATAGAAAATTTACATAAATAGTATTATAAATTTTTTTGGTATGGGTGAGCCGACGGTGAGGGGATGAGAGAGTAACGAAAATAGTTCTTTTATTTTTCATCCTTATAATACAAAGACTAAATTGACCTTAGAAAATTCAAACATCTTTAACGATAAATTAAAATTAAAAGTATTTAAAATATAAAAATATACAAATAATATTATATTTTTTTGATATGAGGGAACGGACATTGAGGAGATAACAGAGTAACAAAAATATTTTTTATTTTTATTTTTCGTCCTTATAAGATAAAGACTTAATTGCCCATATAAAATTCAAACATCTATAATGATAAATTAAAATTAAAATTATTTAAATTATAATAATATATAAATAATATTATAATTTTTTGATATGAGGGAACAGACATTGAGGGGATAAGAGAGTAACAAAAATAGTTTTTTTTAATTTTTTCATCCTTATAATAAAATGACTTAATTGCCCTTAGAAAATTCAAACATAGTTAACGATAAATAAAAAAAAATTTACTTATTTTAATCTGTTTAAGAATCAAATAACCTAATCGGTTTAAGATGCTGAGTCACTCACACTGTAGAGGATGGCAAGCAGGCCCATATCCCACTGCAGCTTCCACTTGGAGCTGTCCCTCTCGAATGCTATCGCAACAAACAGCGACTGAAATGTGCCGAAGAGGCACTCGAGTGTTGTGAAGAGAAGCTTGGAAGTGTACTCCTTCAGCAACATCCCCTGTAAGCAAAGTGATCAGCGATTAGCATGGAATCCCCAAACCCCCCTGTTGCCTATGGCAACATCTCTCTCTCATGGCTGATCTAATGCTAGTGCAATGCACCTGTAAGACAAGCCACAATGCCCAGGTTATGTTGGAGGTGATCATGAAAAGGGTGCCTTTGATCCAGGTGGTCTTTGGCAGAGCTGCCTTCTGGTGTGTTGGACTTGTGTGGCGGCCGGAGGAGCCATGGAGGTTCAGGGGATGGATGTAAGAGCCTCTGTAGAGGGCAGTCATCACCACTCCGGCCACACAAAGTGCTATTCCCACTGCCTTGGCTATTCCTGAGATCCTCTTCACCTTCATGGTCTCCATTCTGGATCATTAAAGAACACATACTACTCTGTTCATATATTGAAGCTGGAGATATTTGTCATGGTAATAATCTATGCCAAGTGCATTAATTTGAGACCATACACTTGCAAACTTTGTTACTATAAATATGAAGTTGTGAGGGAACATATATATATATATATATATATATATATATAT